GAATCAACACAGATTATAACACGAAAACATAAATGTTTAGACTAAATAGCTTAATTCTCATAACATTATACATTTATATATATTTATTTTTATTATAATGACCTTTCACATATGCCTGGCTAACAATACACAAGTTACAACAACGCGGCTCATGTGCACTCATGTTACTGTATCCAATAACATAAAACTGACCTTTGGTCTGTACAAAGTAACTTGTCTTGGCTGTGTTTTAGTAGACTAGTATTTTGTGAAATATAGTCACATTTCAATTATTATACATTATATAAGTATATAGATTATTGCTATTTTGAAATAAGTTCTTAAACTTGTTTTTCTTAAAACATAGAACAAAAAATAAAGAAGCAAAGCAAACAATTATGACCTTTGTATTCGGTTGCTGCTTGACGTAGGTTGCTAAGACTTTAAAAATTTTGCATGTGGAGGATATGAAACAAAATATTTTTTTAAGGTTGTATACATACATTTGAATAACTAAAAAATCATAAATTACTACATTAATACCATAGAATTCCTCTATACTTTTTCAAGCTTTGTAACTAAGATGTATTTTAGACTAAAAAAATATGAAATTTCAAGCAGACTAAAGACACAAACTACCTCCTTCAAATCGTGGTTCGAAAGAACGAGATGGTGTCCTCTCATATGAAAATGGCTGAGAAAGTCACTAGGGGGACATTCTGAGCATCCGATGGGTTATTTATGTCATATAGAAGTAAGTGTATATAAGGGAATGTTTCCAAAAATGGAAAGAGGTGAGTGGGGTGCCACTGTGTTTGATTTATTACATGACCAATATCTTAGGAAATAGAAAAGTTAAGAGGCTCTTATTTTGTATTCTAGCTTGTCAATATCTGTAATTTGAGTTTCTAATTTGTACAATACTATAGAGTTAATAATTTGATTTCACAAACATCTAATTTGAACCAGTGCTACATCCAACATATCACGTGACACACAAAAATCGATGTTTATATGTGTTTTTAATATTTATTTTTAAATTAAAAATAGAGTAATGGATATTACTAAAATTTGAATTATAATCTACAGTTTGATACCAAACCTACTGACATAAATTCATGAAATAGTAGTTAAATAAAATTTTGAACGAGTCAACAAACGAGATGATCTGGCCTTTCACTATGATCTGTCTTGAAAGGGTAAAGAGGAGTAGACAAGAGGTTTCAAAAGAATGAAGTAGTGGGTGGGTCTACCCATGTAGGTTTGCAAAATATTTTGATATCTCAAGAAATTAGAAATGTGAGAGGAACTTGTTGTGTATTCTAGTTTCTAAATGTCTGAAGTTTGAATTTGCAACTTGTTAACAGTTTAGACATTTTATGGTAGGCATAATAAAATAAATTATAAACTGAAGAATAAGACAAGAAGACATGCCATATGACATAAAAAGCATATTTGGAATTTTTTTTAAATATTTTCTTTAAACTTAAGAAATTATAACACTTATAATATTATAATTTGAATTATAAACTACATTGTGATGTCGATTTTATTGACATATGATAATAAATTTGTTTAAATTTTGAAAATGTCTAAAATGTGACAAGCACCCTTTGACTTGTCTGTAGAGATAGGGTTAACTAAACGTACCTCAATTTGTTCCACAAAAAAACATTTTTCTCATCATTCTGAAACATCTTAATCTTTTTATAAGCTTGAGTTAAAAACTAGGACTGTAATTATTGCAGAAGTTGGTTACAAACGTCTTTTCTTCTATAATTAATACTTGAAACTGTCACTAATTACCGAAATTCCATAATTACAGAAATGGGGAAAGGAAAGATAGTTGTATATTTCACAAATATTTCATTTATTACTGCCATAGTTTTGCATCTAAAGGCATCACCAGGTACATTACCAAGCTAAGCTTTTATCACTTTTCTATGATCTCTACTTGATTCTGTACTGAACTGGAAACCATATTAGTTAATACAGGTGAATATAAAAGAGCTTTCATTATGTATTTATATCACTAGCCTGTGATTTCTTATAGTTAAGATACAGGTAATTTACTTAACACCCTAACATTGAAGTAGAGAAACAATAATTAATTAAAATCAATAAATCAACTCTTGTATTGAAGTTACCATACTGAAATTGTTGTTGTTTTGTTGAAAATTATTTCCTCTTAGGGACTATAAGTGCTGTATAATTGTCAGAAAAACAGTCAGAAAATTTCTAAACACTAATGTTTAACGTTTTCATTTAAAGTGACCTGAAATTAACCCAAAATCAAAATTTGCTATTTAAAAAAAAAATTTATATTGTATACATTTTGATCCTGAAAAGTTTAACAGAGAAAAATATGTATAAGAATAACTAATTTGTTTGGTGCATTTTTGCCCTTGGACAAAAGGTGAACCGAGCTGGGCACCAAAAGGTTAAAATCATTAAATAGTCACTAGTTGAAGTTTATTGTCAGAGCTAGTTAGGTGAGCTAGACATTTAATTTGTGGTTTATGTGGTAGCCACTGATGATCAATAATTTCTATGTTGCAACTCATTTTTGCCAAATCAACACCATGTTGGCAATTAACATGAATTAAAACTCAATACAATCATAAGTTATCCTTTAAGCAAAAGATAAAATAAGCCACAGTAAATCTTCAGTGGAGAGATTTACTTGATAATAATTGAATGAGATAACATATCATTGTTTACTTCCTCAAATATTTTGACTACTTGGCTTGTGTTAAAAATTGACCTAGCTTCATTTCTAACAGTTCTTGTTGCAAAGTTAGAAAGCCAGAAAAACTGTGACAGTTATGGAACATTGTCTGTTTTTTACTTGTGATTATTCTGTGTTCTTTAGTGCATTATTTAATTAAAAAATTATTTAATACAGTAGTATCAGTAGTAGGGCTAATTGTCATCAAAAGTCAACAGCTAAAAGAGAAGACCCAGGTAAGTACTTTATTTCTTGTTTTTCATGTGTATTATTTATTTATTTATTATTATTATAAAAATAACTGAAATGTAAAAAATAGGAACTTTTTAGGTTAGATTAGATAAAATAAAGCATAGTATTAAAATTTTTATGAGGTACATTCGTGAGCAACTAGTAAGTATCCTGTGTATCATAATTTGATAGGGTAATGTAAGCTCCATGTTTGCCAAGTGATTTACAAACCTTATAACTGTTATTAGTTATAAACGGTTCAAAGGGCAGTAAAACAATAAAATTTATGCACAAACAGATGTATACTATTACATCTTTAAAGTTACTTAAGATAAACGTGTAGTTTCATGTTACAATTTGAAGTCATTTTAGAAAAAAAGGATAATTTAGGTTTTTTTTTATGGTTGAGGTTGGTCAAATTGACTGAATGGGTATAGAGTTAGGGTAGAGAAAATAACAGGTAAAATATAAAGTGAAAGTATTTCATTATGAATTCTAATCGTATGTCTACAAATGCCTCTTAAGGATTACTGAAAGCTTGCAAAATTACTGGAAGATACACAAAACATTAAAATTTATAGTATGGAAAATGAAGGTCAATTTATGGTAATGAACTTGGCTGATTTGACCAAGCTCGTAGTGAGAGAGTTAAGATGAAGTCAGTTAGGTTCAAGGTAAGAGAATAAAAACACTGTTTCCATAAGGAGATAAAAAATATTTCTAAGAGAGAAAGAAAAGCTTTGAAGAAATGATAGAATTGTTCAAAAAAGTGATGTAGTATTTTGTTTCTTATGGAAACCAGTTATTATAGGAATATGGCATTAAGAAAAATAAAGAACAGTTTGATAAAAAAAAGGATTTGATTTTTTTTTTATACATATTAATCTTGAAGTGAAACCACTTTGAATTAAGAGTTTTTATATAAATATAGTTAAAAAACATGGCTAAAACTAACAATGAATCACTGGTGACTTTCATAATTGAATGTCCTTTATCTTTGTGAAGCTAGGTGACAGTATTTTTGCTAAGAATATTGTTGATCGAGATCAGTTTATATGTCATAAATAAAGTAAATTTTCAATAAATAATGATTTCTCTTACTTATGTGTTATTTAAATTATGATAAACTTAACAATAAATAATATTCAAGAAATAAGGGTTTGAGTCATTTGGAATTATTACCATCATCTACCATATTTCTAAGCCTATCTACACTTACCATAATTTACTGCTCTCCACACTATTCATTTTATGTTGTTTATAATCTGCCATACTCAGTGGTATTTAAACTTTTTTGTTTTCAGAGCTGAGCTTCATTAGTAGTACTTCAGATCATATGCTATGACATTATACAAAGATGTGAACAAAATGTTTAGCAAGAAAATAAATAGAAAGAAAAGGAAAATCACATTATAAAGAACATTTTTTCCCTTGGTATAGGGGTAAAAATATTAAGTGTTTTGTTGATTAAATAGAATTATTATTAATTTTACTTAAACTTTGAAATTTGATATCAAGATGTACTCAACATAAAGCTGCTTGCTAGTCTGAATAGGGTTAATTCAATTTTGCCAAATATAATCAATTTTATTGCCAGTCGGTATATTTTTTGTACTAGATGTTATTCAGAGATGATAATTGGTATTGGTTGCTCTCTTTTTACAAACTTCTAGCATAAAAATTAATTTGTTAATTAAAACTAATATTATTAATTCAGAAAAGTGAACCTTATTTTGGGGGTCTTTAAAAATTACTTGTCTGAAATAACAGTGATATCATTCTATAGATCTTGTATAAATTCTAATTTCCTGAATTAAATTTTGTGCAAAGATCAGTGTTTGTTTTCTTACTTTATTTAGAGCTTAAGAAAATGGAAAGAGCAAGAGTTAAAACTGTGGTAATCTCAGTTTTTATTACATCCCAGATGATAATTTTTATCTTAAAACTTTTTTTTTTTTTTTAGAAAAGCAGTAAGCTCTATATTGGCAATCTTCCTGAGACTTGTTCCAATGATGACCTACACACATTGTTTTCCAAGTATGGAGAAATAGAAGAATGTGATGTTGTAAAAAATTATGGGTTTGTGGTAAGTTATTCCATTTAAATATAGTTGTTTTTCAGTGTGCCAATTAAAGTATGGAATTGTGGTCACTTTTAATCAAACAATTTGAAACCATTATTTTAGTGACCGTTTGCACACATAAAATTCTAAGTATTGAGAAATATAGTGAATATAATGAAGGAGTTAAGAAGTTTTGGTGAGTTGGTCATTTGATATGAAGCAGTTATTTCTTAGTTATCTTTAATTAAATTGTGTGTAGCAATTTTCATTAACCCTTTCACCCTGATGGGTTTAACCTTGCATGTCACGTGTGGTCTTTTAGTGAGTTATTTTCAAAATTTTATAAAGTAACTTTATTATTACTATATATCAATGAAATTGGCATCAAACCTGGTTTGTATTTGAAATATAGTTCAAAAGAAAATATATTACAAAATAAATATCAGTTTGTATGTGTCACATAGTACCTCCTCGTGTTGCTCAGTTTATATTTTTTACGTCTGCCATATATGTCTAAAGTTGGCTAATGAATTAAAAACTGGAATTTTAGATACTGGCAAGCTAGAATATAAATTTAGAACTTCCCACAGATTGATTTGCTGAGATATCAATGTATCTAGCAAATTAACTAGTGACTTCTCCTCCTACTCCATTCTCGTCTAGTCCCACCTCCTTTTATTAAGAGCCTGTTTATAACCAATATAAAGGACAAGTTGTGCTTCATGTGATTGTCAGTTTTGTCATTTTTCTTTATTGTTCTATATTTTAAGAAAACTAAAACTTAAGCATTTATAAGTGCACACACATACACACACACACAAATAATGTATGGTAGCCAGAATATCAGTGTAATTTGCAAAATATTGATATTACAGTTACATTTGTGTGTACTTGTAGGGATATGTAGTTAGGCCTACTGAACTTATGTTTTTCTAATTATCTAAATTGATGTAAAATAAAAGCGAATGATGCAACATTACAAACTTTACAACTTATATTTATTCGAAAAACATTTAGAAAGGTATAGTAAAAGAAAGCAGTGAAAAACTTGTATTAACTCATGTATATAAATGTATGCAAATACTCAATATGTACATTCAAGAACTGAAACAAACGTGAAGTTACACAAAGATCACATTCTTGAACAAATTGTATACAACGGTTCAAGAATGTGAACAACTTTGAGAAAACACATACATAAAGTTGTGCATAGAAACTGTAAATGGATGCAAGTTTATATACATGTATTTCACATAACTATATAGGTATATTTACATTTTAGAGAATGCACATAAAAAGGAGTACCGTACATACAAGTGTATGAAAAGAAAACTGCAAAAATATGGAAGTTATACACATTTTGATATAGGGAATTGTATACAAATGTTCAAGAATGTGAAGAACTTTCAGAAGACATGAAGCTCTGCACAGAATATACTATAAAATGAGGGAGTATCATACATACAAATGTATGAATAACAAAAGAAAACTTTACAAAAAACATTTCAGTCAAAAACATTGTAAAAAAGAAACATTGCTGTACATTCAAATACAATAAAGAATGCTAAGATACTACTGTCTAAGATATTTGTAAATTATTAGAGAAATTTAAAACTATTTGTTAGAGGAAAAGAAAGAACTGTATTTGTAAAAGGAAAAGAGTAGACACTTTTACCTAGTACATTAACAATACTTTAGTGAAACTTTCATAAATGGATTTATTTTTGTTTTATGTTGTTATAACATGCAAAATAAATCAGCTATGATTCTTTCGGCAGTGTTGGTTATGTACTAAGTAAAAGCTCAACTCTGCAAATTGTTTCATACAAAGATACTGTGTGAGTATCCTGTTGTCTGTAAGGCACAGTCTGTATCTTTTCTCTTTACTTTGTTTGACAAGTGTTGGATAATGTCTATCAAGAGTGAGTCTCGGGGGAGAAGAGTCCTGTACAGTTCTTGTAAGTGGAATACCAGAAGGTCCGTGTCTGCTCTGAAGTAAAGACTCAATAAGAGAAGTGATTGGCTCCATCCTGAAGGACTTCTGTGCTAATTGTGACTGGTTGGTCTTTGTCTTAGAGAGAATAAAAGCATTGACTTTGATAAAGTCCATTGGCTGGAAAAAGTTTTTTGTACCATTTTACTAACCTTCATTCAGTTGAATGGTAGCTGAGGAATTGGTCATTGAGGTCCACTCCTCCCATGAATGTGTTGTACTCTACAACTAGCTGAGGTTTTATAGCCTCAGCATCCCTTCCTCCTATAGTTGTCATGGTACTGGAGCGTAAAGTAGAAAGAGCATAGATGTCTGGTTTGTCCATTCACTTCACTGATGTCAGACTTTCACATTTAAAAAATGTGCTTCACCTCACTGTAGAGTTGTTGCAACCAGTTCCCATGGGAAATGCAGTCTGTCCTTCCTGTTTGTCCCACAAGCATAAGTCCCAACAGCCAACACTTTATCAATCAAATGAGGGGAAGTGTAGAAGTTGTCCAGGAAAAGAGTGTCCTAGTCCGTTGAATCTGTCCATCGGGCCCATGACAATATTGTCTGCTAAACTTCTGGCTGGCATTTGTTCCTCCTTTGCCTACGTAGATCTTGAATTTCATACAGTATCCACATACAGCATTTTCCAGGACCCAAAACTTGATACCCCACTTGACTGGTTTCTTTGGTAGGTATTGGAGAAAACTAATTCTACATTTTTTACCCAACATTTGATCATATATAGACAGTTCCTTGTTAGGAGAATAGTGGGAAACAAAGGATTTCAGAAGAAGGTCTATGATAGGTTTAACCTTAAAAAGTTTATCATGGCTAGGGTGAGTCATAGGAAGAGCATTAGAGTTGTTATTGAAATGTAAGTAGTTATGGAGAGCTAAAATCCTGTCCCTAAAGGAGATGTTAGTAAACCAAGGATTATGAAAGGGAAGATAGATAGACCAATAGTCAGGAATAGAAAGATGAGGTTTAAGGACCCACAACTATAGCTAGACCAACTATAGTTAAGATAACATCAACAGTAACATCTGTCCACATTACTGTATTTATTTTTCATGTGCATATCTGTTCATTTCACCTACAATATGGGGAAGGATCAGTCCTAGCACTCACTGTAGCTCTACCACTACCTCTACTCCTCTTAGCTCTGCTTCTTCCCTGTGGTGGTGGTGATGCTTGTTTTGATGTATCTGGCAGCAGCGAGTCCAGAACACTCATCCAAATGAGTTTCACCAGCTACATCTTGATCTGTCCATACGACAAAGTCAAGAATAGCTGTTCTACATTTTGTGGGCAACTGAGCTCGTAGACAGATTCTGTCAGAAACATTGAAATTGAAGCATCAGGTACTTCAACATCTCATTCCTCTGATTGAATACCTTCTGATGATGATGAGGAAGAAAGATTTCAAAGAACTGAATCTCTTCCTCAGAAAGATTTTTTCTTCTTCAGCTCCTCAACTTTTAACTTCTTGTTTATCCAATTCTAAAGGAAAAGAAATGCACATTGCATGTAAATTATATGTATTCTGTGATGTGTATTATATGTATTCTGGAATGTGTATGTAAATTATATGTATTCTGTTGCATGTAAATTATATGTATTCTGTGATGTGTATCATAATTTCACAAGCAGTGCATGATATGCTAAAATACAGAAACAGTTGTAATGGATTCCGATACGGTACTTCCCATCGCTATATTAGCTATTCTCATTCGATGCTTCTCTCTATGTGCAAATTTTTTCTTTGCGCATGCAACAAGCTTTCTGCTCTCCCCTATTGGAATCAAATGATTCCAACATGTCTCTCATGTAAGTCATTATGCGTCACACTCCACTAATAGGAGTGTGACATACTTGCGTGATGCATGTGACTCTCTCAATATGCCACTACTGAACTATCACTTCTTGATTGACAGCACTTGTGCTTGGATGTGTTCCTTTTTTATTTGTTTAAAGTTCCATGCTTTTGGCTCACAAAGTGGTCTTTTATTTTGACTTCTGGTTTCTGTTAAGGCTGTTTCGTAACTTCACTTTAATCCCAGTTTATTACAATCACATTGTTATTTATACTTTTTATTATTGGTTGACTTTTCCTCATTATGAGTTCCGAAGTTCATGTTACCACTTTGGGGGTCACACCTGCGAATAGCACAATGTCTGAGGCCTCTCGTGTGGCTGAGCCTGTTCAAGTGGGCGAGGACTTACATCACCTATTTCTACTGCCTGATTTTGCAGTATCTTCCCATGTCTCACTTGAGCAGTCAGTTATGCTTGATACGGCCTTTTTGGATTTTGTTTTTCAGTTATGTGACATTTTGTCCCATTCTCCTGTTTTCTAGGAACCACGTTCTTCCATATTATGACTAATCTTCCCATCCCTATTTGTCCCCCCATAGATATTTTAGTACATGTTGATCAATATGCTTCACAATTAAGTGATGTAATTAGCATGCCTTGTTCCCCACGGGCTTCAGATCAGTTACTCTTGCATGCAGACTGTCCTTTTCTGGACCAGTAGTTGTTAGGTTCCATTTTGCCTGTTTGAAGTACACTCTCCGAACCTCCGTAAATCTGACCCATACTCAAATTTCCCACCTTTGCCTTATCCTCACAACTCATTTACGGTATCTATCTACCATTCATCTCCTCCCTGAGGTTCTCCACCAAGATCTTGAGGGGTTTTTTTGAGGGCATCCTCTCCCTTCTTTTCTCCATGTTGGCTTGTTTGTCATCTTTGGCTCTGGCTCCACACATGTGGTTTCTCTGTTGTTGGGACCTTCTCGTATGGATGACACCTGAACTCGTGTCCATTTGCCATCATCTTATCTTTGATTCATTGGAATCATGAATTGCATTCTTTCCAACATTGTTGCCCATTTGTCTTAGTTCGGAGCCCAATATGGCACCTGTTACTGTTTCCTGTCCCTCCCCTTCCCAACCCTTACCTGTCCCTTCTTCTTGGGGTGTCTTGTCTAATCATTTTCATCACTTCGCCAGTGGTATTGGTTACTACCTGGTGGGA